AAAAATGGGCATCTGAAATGAACAGACATTTCTCAGAACAAGTAAAAGCAGCAAACAAATACATGAAAAAATGTTCAACATCACTCGTCATTCGAGAGATGCAGGTGAAAACAACACTGAGATTCCACCTCACCCCAGAAAGAATGGCTGCTATCAAGAAATCAACAAATAACAAATGCTGGAGGGGTTGTGGGGAGAAAGGAACCCTTCTCCATTACTGGTGGGAGTGCAGACTGGTGTAACCACTGTAGAAGTCAGTATGGAAATACCTCAAAGAACTAGGACTAGAGGTCCCATTTGACCCAGCTATTCCTCTAGTTCCTTTCTTTGGTTTAAAGTAATGCCTAAACAAGGACCAAATAATGTAACCTTTACAATATTGATTTCCTTCAGTATAATCAATACTGTTATAGAAGTCTGTGCTGTCAGTTGTGAGCTGTAGGTTATCCCAAAAAGAAAACAAAGCAGAGCTTGCAAGCATATCATGTGACTCTTCCAAAAAGCTTCAAGAATGCCTCACAACTCTCAGGAAGAGAACTGTACTATATTTTATGATTAAATGGTATGAGCACAAATAGGGGTCTTTTGATGGAGATTTTTGAGATCTTCTATGTAGAATATCATGTTGTCTGCAAATAATGATAATTTAACTTCTTCCTTTCCTATCTTTACTTGTTTTATTTCTTTCTATTGTCTAATTGTCCTGGCTAGTATTTCCAGAACAATATTGAATAGAAGTGGTGATAGTGGAAATTGTTTTGTTCTTGATTTTAGAGTGAAAGCTTTCCCTTTTTTGACTATTTACTATGATGTTGGCTATTGATTTGTCATTGATAGTTTTTATCAGATTGAGATAAAGGCCATCTTTTCCAATTTACCATAGAATTTTATCATAAATGGGTACTGGATTATGTCAAATGCTTTTTCTGCATCATCAATTGAGATGATCTGTGATTGTTGTCTTTGGCTCTGTTGATATGGTACATTACATTTATTGATTTGTGTATGTTGAATTATCTCTGCACCCCTGGGTTGGATCCTACATGGTCATAGTGTATAATCTTCTTGATGATTTGCTACATTCTATTTGCCAGTATCTTATTGAGGATTTTTGCATCTATGTTCATTAGAGAGATTGGTCTGCAGTTTTCTTTTTTGGTTAGACCCTTCTCTGGTTTTGGTATCAGGGTAATACTTGATCCCTCTGCTGTTTGAAGAGTCGCTATTTAGCAAAAATCCATGTCAATTCCACTGTACTGTGCTGTGAAACTTGGGCTCCTCCTCTCTTAATTACATAATTTCTGATAGCTAAAAAGTCAAAAGTAGCCAATGTTCAGGAAAAAAAATCTCTGAAAACATGTATGAGAAAAAGAAGAGGATTAAGGGATAAGTGAAAGGGGTACAGAAGGGAGGGAAAAGGACTACAAAAAAGGAATAAAGATGTGTTATATGAATGCACCAACTTCCCACGAGGAATGGAAACATTTTGTACTCCACACATTTGTTGATAAACTAAAGTAATGAAAAAACATACAGACATGGAGGGCAGGGGGAGGAAGGAAAGAGGGAAGGGGTTGAAAAAGTTATCAAGGTATGTTATGTACATGTATCAACTCCCCATGAGAAATACAATCATTATGCACTGAAAACGTATACAAATAAAAATAAAAAATTTTAAAAAAATAACAAAGTTTATACTTTGATTCACTGAATCTTGCTTTCACCCATGACCAATACTACTGAAGGATTTGAATTGACATTTTTCCTGGAATTTCTTTCCTCCCATAGTTCTTAGATATTGGCTCAGTATCATCCTTCCAAATTACATTAGTTTATATCAAACATACATAGACTATTAGTATTCTATTTTTAATTTCTTTCATAAATGTTGTCAAAATAGTAATGCATATGATGGCGTTTTATGAATTAAAGTGAATATGTACTAGTTTTTATTATATTTGTTTGTAGTACATACTGTTAACATACCTTCTGGGGAATTGCTACTTGTACATAATACATTTTAATTCATTTTCTTCATTCTCTTTCCCTTCCCTCTCTTCCTTCTCCATCTGTCTCTCAATTTCCTTCTTTTTTTGTACCTTTGCAATATGTAATATTTACATATTTTTGTGCAATTGGCACATGTATATAAAAGATCTTAATTCCTTTAATTTTTTCTTTTTTTGGTACCAGGGATCGAACTCGGGTCCTTGCACTTGCAAGGCAGGTGGCAGAACCACTGAGCTAAATCCCCGGCCCTAATTCCTTTAATTTTAAATCTGTGAAATGAAAATGTGTATGCATGTGTACAATTTTAGTTATTACAACTATTACACATGAATTTTAGCTTGTGAAAAAAGATATAAATTCAAAAATTAAAATTTCTAGTTTTTTTATCTGTAGACAATTACTATTTACTATATATACTAGTTTCCTAAGGCTGATATAGCACAACACTGGTTGCTGATACAACATAAATTTATTATCTCACCATTCTAAAGACTTGAAGTCCCAAATCAAGATATTGGTGGTGTTGTTCCTTTGAGTGCTATATGGAAGAACCCACTCTGGGTCTGGCCCCAGCTTCCTGTGATTTGGCAGTGACTGATATATTTTGGAGTCTGCTGTGTCATGTTGATTCCACCTCTATTTTCACTTGAAAAGCTCAGTATGTCTTTCTCTAAATTTCTCCCTTTTATAAGCATACCAATCATTTTAGGCTAAACACCCTCCTCTTTCAGAAGAATGTTATCTTAACTAATCACTTTCACTAACAGGATCATCTTCAGTGACCCTATTTTGCAAAAAGTTTACATGCTCAGGTTTTGGGGTTAGGATTTCAGCATAAATTTTAGGGGAACACAATGCAACCCACAATACAACCTCATTTCACATCCCTTTGCACGTCCACTGCGCTTGACTAGGAGTAATGATTACCATAATTTACAAAGCCCAGACTCTGTGACAGTGATTGTAAATGAAATCCAGTAATTTGTCTCATTTTATGTATCCCTAAGTAGAAAATATCAAAGAGATCATTTCAATATCATCAAAATACTATTGTGAAAAAAATTAGGCATATAAAATAATTTTTCTAATGTTACATAGTCAAGTACAAATTCAGGCCATTTAAATCTAGCTGGCTATTCATAGAAAATTTATATTTTACATGGCAATTTGTAACTCAAAACCTGCAAGTCTCTCTGGTGTTATCCAGTTCTAATATAAACAATCTGGACCTACTATATGTCAGAACTAAATGAGTTTAGCTTTAAAAATAATTCTATCCAAAAGTATTAACAAGACAAAAGAGAATCTATTTCTTTGTCCATGAACTATAAACAAAATTGGGATTTTAAGACACTCAATCCACAACTTACTAGTTGTGTCATTTAGAGGAAAAATAAATCCCCCAATAGTAATATTTGGTTTGCTGTCCTATAAAATTTCAAATAAATATCTAGATTTTTTTTGTATAAAATTAAGAATTCCATCAAGTTTACTATTTCTTATCTTATTAGAATTATATTCAGGACCATGGCACAGAATTTCAAATGACAGCAGTTGTTTAAAAGAATAAGTGTATTTAAAGAACCTAAATACAATTTAAGATATCCTATTATCAAAGTACAGAAATAACATATTAATGCAAGGATACAACACACTATCAATCAGTATTTTTACTTAGTCTTCACAGGATTTTGAGATAAGTACTCTTATTTTCCTTTTATAAATGAAGAAAATTGGGCACAGGGAGAAAAAGCACTTTGTACCAAATTATCCATATATCTGAGGTAAATTTGGGGACCTGAGTCAGCATTTATATCACTCACAACCTGAAGCTCTGTCAGCTTGACAATTGATAGTAATAATTTTGCTGAGCTGCCGCTAACAACACTCCTTGCAAATTCTTCAGTCATCTGAAGGCCAATTATCAGACTCCTAAATATGCAGTAAGCACTATGACCTCCTCTCCCTCAAAAACAGAAAACTAATTAACCAAATGTACACTATTATTTAAGAAACGGAGAGCTATTCAGATTTTTTTTAATTTATCCAAAAATAAGGAGTGTATTAAATAGAAATATGGATAAATGTATTTGTTCTCCATACAGGATTTCATAATTACAATAAGAAATCAACCAACATATGGTTTAAGACAGTATATACTAATTTTATAGCTATTTCTCCTAAGTGACAAATAAATAATTGAATCAGAGGTGATAGAATGCTTAAGTAAAGAATATGTTCCCTAATAGATTTTTTGGTATTTGTTTTGTTTTTATTAAAATTACTTATTTTTCAAGTTTGATTATTAATACAAATCTTGAGTTTTAGTACAGGCAGAGTATCCCTTATCCCAAATTCTTGGGACCACCCAAGTGCAGTGGTATTCTTCTCCTAATCCCAGCACTTTGGAGGCTGAAGTGGAAGGATCATCTTAAGTTTGAGGCTAGCCTGGGCTACTATGTAGTGAGTTCAAGACCAGCCTGAACTATATAGGAAGACCCTGTCTCATAACCAAACCAAACAAATGAAAACATTGATACCAGAAGTATTTTGGAATATGTACCTGTACAGAAAGTGATATGTTTTGGATGGAACCTCAGTCTAAGCATGAATTTCACTTATGCTTCATAAATGCCTTCCATACAGAACCTGAAAGCAATTGGATACAGTTTTCATAATGCCAATGAATCATATTTGCATGGTGTGGAATTTTCCACTTGAGCATTCTGGATTTTTGGATTAGAGATGTTAAGCCCATAGTATGCCAAGGTAAGGTAGAAACATAATCTTCTGTAGGGGGAATTGAACCCAAGGCCTTCACACTGAGCTATATTATATCCTCAGTGTAACTTTTTAAATTATCTTTTATTTTGAGGCAGGGTTTGGCTAACTAGCTAAATTGCCCAGGGTGGGCTTGAATCTGCAGTCCTCCTGCCTCAGCCTCCCAGAGTGCTGGGATTACAATAGTATGTCACTGCACTCAGCTGGAAACATGATAATTTAAAAAATTATTTTTCATCTTCTAAGCACTGTTTTATGGTAAAAAGTTACTATTTGGTCCTAAGTGTTCTTATATGCAAATAATTTGTACTGCAGATGATTTTTATTTTCCTGACATTTACATTATGAAATTCTAATCACTAAATTCTTCCTCATCACTGAAGTAAGTGCTCTTCTTTATTCTCAGGCGCCATAAATCCTCTGATGTTGAGGGGCCTCCTGCACTGAGTTTCCATTTTTTCTGTTCCTCAGTCTTGGCTTGTTGGGACGCGATGGCTTGGCTGAGACTGTTGAGAGCCGGGTCTTCCCCTTCGTTTTCACTTTCTGCTGTGTCCTCAATTTTTTTAGGGTAAGCAATTTTCTTTTTCTTCTTCTTTTCTTTCTTTTTTGGAGGCTTACGTTCTCTCAGCATGTTTTTCGGACAGGCATAACTTAAGTGTCCACTTTCCCCACATTCATAATACTTCAATTCATCAAAGCAATTTCGCCTTTGCATGAATTCAGCTGTTCTCCCATTGTCAATACCAATGCTTGCTTTTATCACTCTACCAAACAACTGTTTGTTGTTTATGGCTCTGGTGGAGTTTTGTGCAGAGTCTTTATCTAAAAATAATATAAATGCAACCCCTTTACCCTTCCTCATATCTTTGTCTTTCATTACAGTAACCTTTATAGCTTTGGCATACTTGGAAAATCTCCGGTATAAGTTGTTGTTTGTCAGGGAGATAGACAAGTTTGACACACACATTGTGCTCTTACTTGGAGCCAAGCCAGCACTCATTTCTTCAGGGACATCGGCCCTGGCGCAGCAGGGGTTCAACCCTTACTTTTTCTTGTTCCTCGCAGTAGTCTGGGCATCCCTCGCCCAGGAGGGATTGGTGGTTGGTGCAGAGCCGGGGGTTGCTGCAGGGGAAGGACCCTGTATGCTCCCTTCGGTCGGGCCGCACTGGCGGCTGCGTCCCAAATAAAGTTTTCAATTAAGGTAGAGTTTCAGAATGTAGTAATATCAGAAAAGTGAAAAGGTTTCCAGATCCATAATAATTTTTCTCATTGCTGTTAGAATTTACATAAGGACATAATTGAATATAGCCTTTGTTGACAATGAAATTATTTTATCTGTCCTTCCAAAATTGAAGTATAACTCAAATGTGTGTCAGTTATTTTCATGTACATAAAAAATAATCAAATTACATAAAACGTAGAAGAAGTAGGAAGCTCATATACCTATGCTACACTTTGAATGTCTTTTCTCTCCCAAACTCATGGAAAATTTAACCGGCAGTGTAGCAGTACTGGGAGTGGAGTCCTTCAGAGGTGATTAGAGCCATAAGAGCTCTGTCCTCCTGGATGGGTTAAATGCCTTTGAAAATTGGCTTTTAGGGGTGGCTGTTCTCTCTCACTTTCTTACTTTCCACACTGGAATGCAATAAAAAGCCCTTTGCCATCTTCTGGCCCGTTTATATTGACCTTTCCAGACCCCAGAATTGTAAATCAATATTTTTCTTTATATTATAAATAATCCAATGTCAGGTATTCCATTGTAACAACACAAAACAGACTACATCAATCTGTAAATCAAGAAAATAAAAACAAAACAGAAGTCTAATCTCTACATATTTTATTTTGCCACATTTGAAAAAGACATTTGTATAATGAAATATTTCTATATTATAAGAAAAAGAACAGAATAAATGTGATGATGTAACTCAGCTTAACTTTGGTTGCGGGTATTACAACTACAATACTGGCAGTATCTGGAAAAAGACTGGAAAGTTCGAGGTCTTATGTAAATGAGGCATGCATTCCACAGCTCCTTTAGATACTGAGGCTATTATTACCAAATTATCTGACATTTTCAGATAATCTGAAAAATCACACTTTACAAGAATTCTTCCAATTTTTAAATGTTAGATCCAAACAACTGCCTGCCAAACAAAAACAAATCTACAGACTACATCTGTCCTTTAAACCTCCAATATGCAATTTCTGGAATATGGGCATTAGTTTTAAACATTCTGTAAGCTTTTGTTCAGAATGTAGAAGAAAATTTTGAAATGACATCAATCACATTCCTGTTTATGATTCAGTTGTCAAAGCTAGCCATTTATTTGTTTAATCTTAGATACTCTGATATGATAGCCAATCCATCTTCGTCTCCCTCCTGTATTACTGCTTCTGCTGCCCAGCTACTCTGTCACTCTGTCCTGGCTCCCTTTTGTTTCTTCTTTGGAGAGGAGCAACTAAGATCCTGTCTGAGTATGAGACAGGGCCTACCAAGATTCAGCCTGCATCCACTAATGGGTGTCCACTGGTAGTAATAGGCAAAATCTCTATAAATTCCCAGATAATTTAACACCATTTATATTAGCCCTATTCATTTAATCATGATCATACCTTCTACATAGATATAGTTCTCACCTCCTATTAAGATTTAAAGCTGAAGAGTTCTCCAAAAGTCACAAAGATGAGATTTTTGAAAGGTTGCTGGATCATAGGGTGTGGTACTCATCAGTGGATTGGTCTATTCATGGCTTCATAGCTGAAAATGCTGGTTTGGAGGAGGTGTATCACTGACAGTGTGCCTTTAAAGGTTTGTTTTTTTTTTTTTTTTTTTTTTTTGGTCTGGAACCTTCTTCTCTTTCTGGCTCTCTTGTTCTCTCTCTGATTCCTGGCTGCCTTGGGTTGACAGCCTTGTACCTGCATGCCTTTCTATCATGACATTTCTTCTGCCTTGGATCCAGCTAACAATGGAATGAATCATCAGAAACCATAAAACATAATAAATCTCCTTTTTAAAGGTTTGGGTGTCAGGTATACTGGCAGTAATGGGAAGTTAACAAGTACACCTCACTTTACTCTTTACCTATAAGTCATTTGGCTCCTTGAATTTTTTCTCATACTCTAAGTAGGCTCTTCCTTGAAGATACGTTTTATTTATTGTGCTTCAATTCTCTTTGCACATGAATCTATTGGGTCATGGCTCTCATTTCAATATTTATTCAGAATCACTCTCTAAGGCTTTTTGGCTGTCATATCTAAAATTTCAGTCCTCTGCCAATGATTTCTCAGAACAATTCTTGTCTAATCAAATGATTGAGCTTTTTTCCTTTATACCGTAAAGTAAACACATACAACATAGGTTTTTGGTATTTATTCTCACCCTGGTCTTCTTGAATTTCACTGAATCACTGAGTTATGATTTTGCTAATTAATAAATTAAAAGTTTATAAATTTTATGTAAATGAATCTATTTATTCTTAATAATATTTGAACATGATATTATGTTTTAAAACAAAAAAATTTTAAGTGAAGAAATTCAATGTTTTCTGACAATTTTACTAAGGTGACTAGATGAGTAAGTCAACCACAATTAATAATGAAAAATGATGAGTTTTTAAAGTATTTTCATTCTCCAGAAATTCTTGCTATTGCTTAAAATATGTTACTAATAACTGAAGTGGACAACTTAATGAAAAGCCAAGTTAAATGTTCAAACTAGCTGTCCAAGGGACTATTTTTATATTTTGTAGCCATAAAAATATTTCCTGAAAGTATGTTTAAATATTATGAACTGAGTATCTGATATAGTGATTAATGATGGAACATCAATCAGATTATATCATTTCTCCTTTCAACACCCTGTAAAGACTTTGTATATCACTCAAAATTAAACACTAATTTTTCACTGTAAATTCAGTCATCTCATTCAGATCTTTTCTTAAACCTTACCTTTTAGTGTCACATTCTTGATAATTCTTATTAAAATTGTAGTACTTCTAGCCTCCTGTTCTCTTCCTGGCTTATTTTGCTAAACATTTATTTACATCTTCCTACACTATAAATTTAAGTTATACAAGGGCAGAAACATTGGAGTTTTTCATTAATGTGTCCTCTATGTTGGTAACACTGCTGAATTAATTAATTAAAGTACAGATACCCAAAATCTATATACACAATCTAACATAAAAGTACATACATGTAGCTATTCATACTAATCAAGTATGCATGTAAGCATAAGTAAATGTATGAAACAAATGGAAATGTGAAACACATTTTTAAAATGAGCAAAACAATAATTTAAAAGAAGTTTAATCCTTAAATATGACAAATATTTGTTGAGTATTTTGACAAAATGCATTTAAATGCAGCTAAATTATGACAAATACAAACATTTTTAAGTAATTAGAATTCTAAACATAAATGGAAGTCGTCACTTATATAAAAAATAAATATAATTATAATCTTCAATCTATGAATTGCCTAGGAATTTTATAACATCACAACCAAAAATCAGTCACAAATTTGTTTATTCCTTGTATGAATCAGGATAAGTTAAGTGATGTTGTGGCATCAAATGAAACTCTTGGTGGGTAAAAACATTAAAAGTTATTTTTATTTATACTACATATCTAATATGGGTCTGGAATGGCAAAGAGTTGCTTCACACACAGTCCCTCATGTGAAATGAAAGGATACACTTCAATGTATTCTTTGACATTCAACTAGACAGTTGGAGGAAAGCTAGCAAAGTACAATTAATTTTGAATTTTCTGTGTTGAATTTCCAATCATATTTTATTGATCATGGAAAGTGATAGAGACATGCCTAACTTCAGAAAGAATACAGAGAGGTAATAGGATCCTGTGCTTGAAAGGAAAAGGACGTCTGTGGGAGGATATGAATACATCAATATGTATGAAGCACACTAGTGATTAGGCAAAAGTGGTTAAATATGCTGAGAAAACTTCCCCATACATGACTTCACTGAAAATTGAATTATGGACAGTAACATAAAGAAGATGGTTCAACATCTGATATATCATTGTTAACTTTTGCTGATGAAAGAAAAGTAACACATTATTAGGCAACAATGGTAATAAATAATAAATAACATTTATTGAGTTTGCTGCAACAAAAGAGAATACAACTCTGCAGCAAGTGTAGGGCATAACATAGAGAAGAATGAGAGATGTAGAGGGGATTCTAAGCTCTTGATTGGATTTGCTCCCAAGCTGGCAATTCTCAAAAGGTTAAGTCAGAAGCTACTTCTTCCTTTCACACTCTACAATAGCTCGAGGCATGCTGCAATTGGGTGGATTAGTAGTATTTGTCTAGGGTATGGGTGGGTGAAGTGAACCTTGGGTTTTCACTGCTGGAGCAGCAGAAGTTCTCTCTGTTGGTAGTATACCTCTTGTCTGTGTTGCAGGTCATTTCTTCTCACAGAATGGTCTGCCTGATCCCTTGAATTTTGCAGGCATTTTTATGGTTGGGAACATCATGTCTTGACTACTGGGACAGCCATTTCTGCTTTTCACTGAATTTAATAGCTTAGAACTTGTTATTTTAAATAAAACAGCTATGACTGCAACCAAAAAGATAAAGTTCATTTTGTCATGAAGCTAATAGATGATGCAGTAGGCTTAGATTAAGGGTCTTCCTTGGGACTTCAGCCCTGTGCTTGGCTAGTGGCAACTAAGGAAAAGAAAATTAAGGTTTGGATTGGAGAAGTGAAGACTGGTGAACGTGCGTGGACCTGAGAACTGAGGAGAGATCCGGACTTTAAACAAGAAATTATGTAACTTTACCAATACATTCACTCCTCTCTGTATTTTTCCATTGTGAAATCTTAACATTAGTAATTACTTCCATTATATGCATTTATAGCTCTGTAACTATTACTTTGTAAAAAACACAGAAAGTAAAAGTTTTCTCTAATTATAAATTATTATTATTGGTCTTTCATGGCTACTTTATAGATTCAGTCAAGCAATATATTGATATCAAAGCTAAAATATTAACACTTCTAAACAGGCATTTAACAAATTTAGATCTCTTCTCTAAAATAGCAACAGTTACATAAAGCCTCTATTCATGTCAGTAATCAACGAT